TTAAGGCAAACTGAGAATTTTAATTTTACAGGTATAATAAGGGATGTGGTGGTACTAGACACAGTGGTAAGTGGCAAGTGTGTCCTATTACTGATAGATGGCCAGTCCAGAGACCATTAATCAAGATGGCAGACAACAGGGTTAGTTGCTTATGAATGAAGGCGTAAAACCTGCGCCTATCTACACTTCAAGCACAACACGGTGATGAGACACTCAACTGAAGTAAGACATATGACTGGTGTAAACATTTCAAAGATGGCCATACGTCCATCAGTTACAATCCCAGCTGTGTATGGTTCCCAGCTCATAGCAGTCATTCCTGTAAACATCCAGCACGTGGACCACCTGATCCTGGATAATTGACGCATAACCTGTCATGAAATTGCACAAGAGACCAATCTTTCTGTGGGAATGGTCAACACGATGAAGTGAAGCAGGCTGTCCTAGGATGGTTCAGGCGTACTGACAAATATTTCTATGCCAAAGCTTTCCAAAGCATTAGTTAAATGCTAGGATAAGTGTACAAATGTAGCAGAGGAGTATGTTGAAAAATAAATGCAACATAAAATATTCCTCAGCTTCCAATCAAATCAACGTCCTCAATACTGTATGTATCCTCAAGTGACTTCATAATTCTTCAAGACTCTATATTCTCAATAAAGTGAGATCCTCCTCTTCTTTAACCCTCAAAAACAATTTATATAGAAACCACATATAGTGCATTACCTATGTCATACACTGTAAACCAAACTAAAATACACTTACATAAAAGTGCTCAAAACATGCAAAAACTCCAAAGCCTTCCCAAGTGTCATTCCACATGTGATATCTGTAATTCCTACTCTTACCCTGTGGGTATGAATAACTTGCTGAAATGTATTTCCAACTGGCGCGTTCTTGCTTCAGAAGTCCTCCTCCTGAGTGATTGTTCTCTCCAAAAATTTAAATTGTATATAGTGTACTATATTCAACAAATATCATATCAAGCTACACCGTGCTTCCGTGGTATCAAACCAATAACCACCAATTAAGTGAGACAATCGAGAAATCCACCATCTTCCAATCCATGCACCTTACCAAACTATAGAGAAAAAACAGCTTTCCACAGATAAACTGCTCTCCAACCAATATCGCTCTTGTTGTTCCATCACAATGCCAATGGCCCAAAGACAGAATAGACACCATAATGTAATCTATCAAACCCATCTGATTTATTAGATAAAAAAGCGCTTACATAGTTATGATGTACACCAGTGTTGTTTCAAAAACCTGTAGACCTGACCTCATCTAAAATGGCCACCGCGCAACTTCCAGTTGGCGTCTGACATCATTTGCTAACGCGTTTCATCATTACGACTTTGTCAAAGGATCCTTGAAGAATTATAAAGTCACTTGAGGATACATATTGAGGACGTTGATTTGATTGGACTCTGAGGAATATTTTATTTTACTTTGGACTTCCTGGGGAGGAAGGGACTTCTTGGCGACCAAGGGTTGGGTAGTACGCATTGTATTTTGCAGTCAAAGTTGGTTGTTATTGTACAGAAAAATGAATGCGGTTTCCACTCCTTGAAAATTGTTATTATATACAGTCGCAAGAAAAAGTATGTGAACCCCTTGGCATTATGTGGAGTTTTGCATGAATTGGGCATAAAATGTGCTTTGAACGTCATCTAAGTCACAACAATAGAAGCACACAGTCTGCTGAACATAATACTACACAAACATTAGATGTTGCCATGGTTTAATTGCACATAACATGTAAACATTCACAGTGCAGGGAGGAAAAAGTATGTGAACCTTTGGACTTAATAACTGGTTGACCCTCCTTTGGCAGCAATAACCTCAACCAAACGTTTCCTGTAGTTGCAGATCAGACCTGCACAACGATCTGGAGTAATTTTGGACCACTCCTCTTCACAAAACTGTTTCAGTGTAGCAATATTCTTGGGCTGTCTGGTGTGAATTGCTCTCTTAAGGTCATGCCACAGCATTTCAATCAGGTTGAGGTCAGGACTCTGACTGGGCCACTCCGGAAGGCGTATTCTGTGCTGTTGCAGCCATTGTTTTGTTGAATTACTTGTATGCTTTGGGTCATTGTCCTGTTGCATCACCCATCCTCTGCGGAGCTTCAGTTGGCGGACAGATGGTCGTATGTTTTCCTGCAAAATGTCTTGATAAACTCTGGAATTCATTTTCCCATCAATGACAACAATCCGTCCAGGCCCTGAGGCAGCAAAGCAGCCCCAAACCATGATGCTCCCTCCGCCATGTTTTACAGTGGGGATGAGGTTTTGATGTTGGTGTGCTGTGCCTTTTTTTCTCCACATATAGTGTTGTGTGTTCTTCCCAAACAACTCAATCTTGGTTTCATCTGTCCACAGTATATTTTGCCAGTAGTGCTGTGCAACATCCAGGTGCTCTTTTGCAAACTTCTTGATCGTAGGTCTTCTGAGAGCTCTTTTCTGCGAGGCATGGTTCACATCAGACAGTGCTTCTTGAAACCAGTAAACCCAAAACAGGTGTGTGTTTTTTAAGGGCAGGACAGCTGTCAGCAACACATCCAATATCATCACACTGATTGGAGTCAAGGTTGGCTCCCTCCTGGCTCCAATTAGCTCTGGGAGAAGTCATTAAGCTAGGGCCTCACATACTTTTTCCTCCCTGCACTGTGAATGTTTACATGTTATGTGCAATTAAACCATGGCAACATCTAATGTTTGTGTAGTATTATGTTCAGCAGACTGTGTTCTTCTATTGTTGTGACTTAGATGACGTTCAGAGCACATTTTATGCCCAATTCATGCAAAACTCCACGTAATCCCAGGGGTTCACATACTTTTTCTTGCAACTGTATATTATTATATAAACTCAAAAGTCCTTGTTTGACTTGAACTCTCCTCATACATGCATTATTGCTTTGAAATCAATGTTACAGCTACTGAGAGGTCGCTTATATTTATATGTCTAATAATATTTTGATTTTGTAGAAATATTTATGCCTGGTAACAATTTAATGACACCTTATAAAATCCCATTGTTACACAGAATTTGTGGTTTTTCAATCTTCCATCCAGGCAAGGCTGTGGTGCACAAGCCCACCCCTCTCCTTAAGTTTTCTGAGAACCCCTTGCTTGTAGCACGGAAGAGTTGTTCCCAAATACAGCCCACTGCTGGCTTTGTGCTGTCCAAATTCTGAAAACCCAATGCATCATAATATCAGCACTAAGGAGTTTTTCACTACCAAAGTTAGACCTAGACTCTCTACAATCTGGCTTCAGTAGATTAAGACAAGCCATAGATGGTGCGAATTTCTTTCCTGCAAACATGGGTGTTGGGGATAGCTGTCCTGCCGGGAGAAGATAGTGATTATTGCTAGCAGCTATAACAGCCGCTAGTCATAATTGCATGTAAAGTCTGGCTGGCTGGTTGTACCCACGTTGATCGATCAACTTGGGTGCATTCAGCCTGGCTATACATGGTCCGAATCGAGATTCAAATCGGGTAAATCAGCATTGTGATTTTAGCACAGTTGCAGTGTTTGCTGGATAGTATTAGAGGTTCACAAATTTGTTTTGTTTCCTGAAACTGCAGTAGAGGACCCATTCACACCTTTGTGTTACAGTAATGTGTGTTAAAACATGTTTTAATGTGTGTTACTGCAACGCACGTCAACATAACTCTCCTACTGCAGTGTGTTTTGGTGCCATTCATGGCTGTTCTTTATCTCCAGTATATAATTCACAACAAACCAAAAAACTGAATGCAGAGTTTTATTTGTGACTATCATCTAATGAACAATATTATGGATCCAGTTGGTTAGATTGTTTCCTCTTGTGTTTGTATGTCAGGAATCTTGCAGTCCTCAGGAGCTCTGTGTCCCTTGATAGTTGAGAACTGTCGAAAAAAAAGGTGTCATATAAACAGAGGCTGTGGGACACATGCTTTATAGGAGATACCTCTACTTTCAAGGAAGCTGTCTACAGATCTATGGCCTTCATCAGTGTCTGAAATATTTGTGTGTTGTCTAGTAATGTCTTATTTATTTTGCCGTACAAACACTATGCTACAGACAGTTCACACCATGTTAGGCTCACTTTAGGTCCTTGGGGTTGTCTAAGGGGACAGTGCTGAAGTGCAGACAGCTTATGGTACCTCCAACTATCCATGATGATCTTCAAGCTGATCTTGGTGCCCTTGTGGAATCTCTTTTATCCCAGACCCAGATTGTTCATAGAGGCTTGACTTCTTTCCAAGTCAAGAATAAATTCCATCTCCAGCATAATGTTACCCAAACCCCTCTTAAATGATTTACTGGCCTAAAGCGGAAGTCACGTGATACTCCAGTCCCAAGCCTTTTCCCCTCTTCTGTTTATATCCTGTGTAGCCCTTCATCGGGTGTCCATATAATTTCCTGTATGCCTGTATGGACACTTTCTACTGCCTGTCCAGCGATTGGGTCTTCTCAGGATCCAGAAAAGTAATGACATCAACATGAGGAGATGGTAGAGGAACACATGCAGTGCTAGGTTAGTATTTCCCCCACACCTGGAAAATGGCCAAAGTGAGGGACCTAAACTTGGTTTCACTTGCTTTTCCAGGAAATAACTAAAAACCCTGCAGGATGGGTTAGAGAGAAGGGGTCATATTTGCTTAGAATGGAGCTTTAAAGTTTATCCTAAGCCAACATTCTTTAAAAGGTATGTAAACCCTAACAATTAACTTCTTTTATTTGGTTTATTTTGGTCTGTTAGACCAACGGTTACCTCCTCCTATGCTTGCCTCCATGAATTCCCGTGAGCCTCTCCCATCCTCTGGAACTTCCTACCCAAATCTGCCTGACTATCTCATACTCTGTCCGCATTTAGACAATCCCTGAAAACTGTTCTCTTCAGAGAAGCCTATCCTGCCTCCACCTAACAACTGTACTTTTATCTTCTCCTTTAGCATGAGTTTGTTAGCTCTCTCATGGGTGCACTGAGCAGGCTAGATACTGAGCCATGGGGAGCAGAAAAGAACTGTCAAAAGACCTGCGTAACAAGGTAATGAAACTTATACCAGTCAGTATTGTTCAATCACTTGTTAAGAAGTCAAAAATTTGTGAATCCTTGATACCAAGCCAAGGTCAGGTAAACCAAGGAAACTCAACCATGCACCTCATTTTTGTTCAAGTATCGTCGTATTGTGCCCCCCTTATAAACACCCATGCCATCTTTTTCCAAAGCAGCCTGTATTTCTCCTGAGGTTAACTGTGGGTTTTCTTTGTACCCTGAACAATTCTTCTGGCAGTTGTGGCTGTAATCTTTCTTGGTCTACCTGACCTTGGCATCAAGAGATCTCCGAATTTTCCACTTTTTAATAAGTGATTAAACAATACTGACTGGCATATTCCACAATTTCTGCCAGGGTGTGCAAACATTTCAGCACATGTGTATCTCTAAGTAAAGATCTTTAATTTAACTTTGGATAGACTATGGAAGGGTTCGAGTCAAGTTTATATTGCCATATTTTTTTCCCTTTGGGGAGATTCACTCTGTATTGTTTCTGGTGACCACTGTCACCAAAACAGAAAGTGGAGAGAAATCCAACATTTTAGAGCTGTCTCCAGAACTAGAGGTAGGGAAATTCTTCCAGTTGGGACAACTGTCTAAGAGGGGAATTCCCTTCAATTTTGGAGGACTCCTCAACTTCTCGTTGCATCTTTGGGACAGGAAGTAAGGGAAAAAAATGGTACAGAGAATGCAAAAAAAAAAAAACCAGGGGGGCTAAACCCTTTCCTACTCTATCCAAAACTGCAAAAAAAAAAAAAAACCCAGGTGAGGGTAAACCCTTCTCTACTCTATCCAAAACTGCAAAAAAAAAGTTTTAGATATACACGCATGATCCCACATGAGGACCATTATGACTTACCAGTCTTACTGTGAATGCACCAAAGTCCAATTGTCAGCATCATCCCAAGAAAGAACGAACAGAGAGTAACTCCAATCACTGCAACCACTCCAACCTCCTGCACTGAGTACTCTGTAAAGGCACACAAAACAGCAGAGTGTCCTCATACTTCTGATTCATCATGTCTTTGTTAAAGCCCAACTGAACCCTTATTATTTATTACTGTAATGCAGTAGGGTCCATATTCAATAGTACTCCCCTCTCCCTGAGCAGCCCTCTTTGAAACAGCGTTCAGGGGGACATGTTGGAGCACTGGAGAGCCAGACCGCTGCCTGTGTGAGAGCTGTGGTCTGAACCTCCTACGTGCTGCCGGCACAGGGTAATTTAACCCTTGCTGCAGCACTTAAAAATACAGCATAGCTACATTACAATAATAAATACAAAAGGGTCAATCAGGATTTGGAAGGAAGGAAGGAAACAAGAGACTGAGGACAGAGCAGTAGTCTGTTCACTTTGGACTCAATGTATAAATGCTCATCTGAAGAGCAGTGCGTACAGCAAACATTTACAAAGCTTTAAGCCCGTTTCAAACACCTTTTCAGAGTCTACAACACCCTTCAGCCTCAGTTTGGGGTTATTAACACACATGGTAGTGCTTTCATTAAAGTGGTTGTAAACTCTTACATATACTCAGTGAGATGATTGACCTCAGGTGATATACAGAGATGAAACAAATCCTCCTGCATTCGTTGTACCTGTCTATCTGCAGTCTTCTCTTCTCTACAGCTGTTCAAAGTACAGAATTTATACAGCCTGACTGAGAGTTTGGAAAGCAGGAGGCAGAGAGCTGAAGTTACAAACAGAAAGGAGAGCTGAGAGCAGGATTGCTGTTAGAAACCACGGGGCCCCATACAGCCAGCCTTACAGGCCCCCCCCCCCCCAAAAAAAAAAACCTCTGTTTACTATGTTTCAGTTATGAATGAACACAGTGAGTGATCGTTACAGGTCACTCATTGTATTCATTCATTGAAAGGAGTGGGCTGATAAATGACATTTTTACCGGACCCTTCTCCCACTCTCCATCCTGAAGCATCCTATTGTGTGCTTGCAGATGCCTGTGGGAGGGAAAGGAGGTAAGCCGGAAGCACTGAGGGGTGGGGGCACAAAGGGGGGCTTTGACAGCAGGGAGAAACGTATAGTGCACAAGGAGGGTTGTAGGTGTGGCGGGGGGGCAGTTACTGAAACCAATCCCCAGTATGGCTCTCTCTACAGCAGCTGAAAGCCAGCGGGAAGGAGAGGAGAAGAAGCAAGCTTTAAGCTGCTGCAGACAGACTCATTCAGGGGACTGGTTCCAGTAATCGCCCTCCCATGCTGTGCTGATCACCCTCCCTGCCCACATCCAATTCACCTAGTTACCTGGGCTCCCCTGCTGGCCTGGGCCCCGTACAGGAGGACTGTTGGTACCCCCTTATCCATGGCCTTGGCTGAGAGCTCATTCACACAGCACACAGGAACAGAGCTGAGGCTGTCAATTACAGGCTGTGTGCTGGAGGTCCCTCCCCTGTCACTGTTTTTCTCTTGGTGTCAGGAAAACTTGTCTGAAGTGACTCATGCAGATAGCAGAGGAAAATAAAACTATGTGCTCTGGACTGAATCAAGTACACATTATAGAGGGATAAGCTTTGTTCATAATTAATGCCAGATATGTACAACCACTTGAAACTTAAAGTATAACTAAAGGCAAAACTTTTTTTTTTAGTTTGGGACAGAGTGGAGATGGATTAGAACACCTGTCGGGTTTTTATGACTGTCTCTATTTCCGTTATGTAGTTACACCCTCTCTATTTGGCCTGGTGACCATTATCATCAAAATCCCAAATTTTGAATGGTCACTAGAACAGGAAGAGAGGGAAATCTTCCAATGGAGACACTAATTCTGGTGACTACCAGGGACTTTTTTCACTTTGGAGGAATTTCCACTCACTTCCTGCTGTGGATATGGGACAGAAAGAGAAGGGAAGTCTATCCAATGAGACACATGGTAAAAAAACTGATGACAGTTATAACTCACCCTTACACTATCCAAAATAAAAAAGAAAGGTTTTGCCTTCATTTCTACTTTAAGTACTGAAAGCACGCTAAAGACTGCAAGCGGCATGTATAAAGCAACAGCAAGCTCCTTCATTTACAGTAGATCTGTGTTTAAGGCTAAGTTGACTCTTCTGAACATGTTACATGTCAGACCCATATTTAGGGTGTAACATGTTCAACATCCACCCCCGATCCTCCCCAATCCACCTCTCTCCGTGACATCGGTTGTAGGATCTTCTCCCTACATTTGCTGTCACAATTGAAATACAGTGCAGCCATGTGGGGCTCTGCCCACACATCCGTGACATTCACTCACAGTTTCTTGTGAATGAATAGACTACAAGTACTATCTGCCATTGCAGCAGATAGCCTGTAGTTCTCAATGAAACAAGGGTAATGGTGAGCTCTATTGTAGTTCATTGATCTTTCTGCTCTCAAGTCACTCTGCCCATATGGGAGGTATGGGCAGACAGCTACATGGAGAGGCTGCAAGAGCCCGGCATTGCACCCGTGATCTACTGATCGCAGGTGCAATGATTTGCAGGCTCCTTAGAAAAAAGAAAATGCACATTTTTTTACCTGCAGAAAAAGTGCATTTATTACTAATTTTTTAAGGTGAACATATATTTTTTACAATTTTACACTATAGCAGAAGGGCAGTTAAAGGGTTAAGAAAAAAAACTGCTCAAAACTTGCTAAAAGCTTTGCAAATGCCTACTGTACACACTGCTAGGCTAGCAGTGAAATCCTGTGTGAACAAAGTCTAAGGTCTTTTTCACAAAAGCTTCAGGTGCACTAAAAATAGAGTCAAAGCTTTCATCAAGAGTCAATCAGTTTTGTTGAATCGTAAACACATGTATAGAGTATGGGCATGTGCAATCATAGAAAATGATGCCATGTTTAGGACAGCACCGCCGTAGACAGTGCATGCAGCCATTCATGTCTATGGGTGGCTGTATGCAGCACTTGGGCTGCCCGGAGCCAGTGTTGCCAACCTACCAAATTGAAGTTCACTGACATGACACCCACATTTTACTGGCACAGCTGTGTTTTTACTGGCATTTCCAAAAGTTAAAAATTATAGTTTTAAGTGCAAATTTTAGTATTTAGGCTACAAACAAGTACAATATGCAATTAGCAATGTGATTTAAGGCAGATAATAAGGCAAACAACATGGTTCTTATTTTTGATATAGTAAGTAAGTAGCTCAGGGACAGGACTCAGGAGGGCAAGAAATTAGAATGGGCAGGCACACACACATGAAATTGACTATCGCGGTTCCACTGACAGCACAGATGATGACATTTCACCAACACCGTCACAGCCATATTTTTAACTGGCAACCTTTTCCTGTCATGGACATTTACCCGTGCCCATTTTTTACTGGCTGCCAGTAAAAATACTGATGGTTGGCAACACTGTACAGCACTTGTACAGGACTTAACATTTATCGGGTCCAACATCTAGCAATCATATTATTTTCATAACACAATAATAGTTATACTGTATACAATAGCCACCACTCTAAGGCCCCATGTACACGGGACACTTCTGAACGATGGAAACTGACTGCTTGAAAAGACGTCTGTTTAGCCGCGTTTGTATAACGCGTTTATGTGAGTTTGAATTTAGAAGCGTTTTTTAAAGATAAGCACAGGAGAACCTCCCAAATGTGCAGAATGCACGGAAAAGTGATAAATTATTAACTATTTCAGACTGTTTCAGAGAAATAAAGAGAGTAGAAGCAGAGCCGGCAGTATGTGTTGAGCTAATTAGGTGTGAGTTGCTCATTAACATTTCTTTTGTTTCCAAGGGTGGGAAGGTGCCTGGTGGAGGGAGTCATTAAGGTCAGGGGGTCTTCATGAGGAATTTGAGGTGTCAATGGGCATTAACATATCTTTTGTTTCCAAGGGTGGGAGAGGTCTGAGGTGTGAATTGGTCATTACAATGTGTGACAAGGATATGTGCAGTAAACCAGTTTGTAGCTTTAAAAGTAATATTTGTGGGGGGGTCCTGATTCAGTAATGGCGTCACCTCCATGCACACGGCATGTTTGGTCAAA